TATTTGAAACCATGTCCAGTAATTATTAGTAATTCGAACACAAATCATTTATTGTATTTATTCAGACACTTGACAAATCTCATCATTAAATTTTATTCAGTTGATACGTGTTCATTGTATTTTTACACGTTTTGGGCATTCCTTGCCCCTCTTCAGCCAACTAAAATAAAAGTTCACAAGTTACAACAGTTTTATAAAACAAATAAGGTCATGTTTTCCAAAACATACCTTTTTGATTACAGATTACAGAAAGTTAAAATCATAAAATTTCTTTGCACATTTAACTTGTTATCTATCAAATTACAAATGTCTGTAAGGTTTGTACCTTTAAAACACCTTTATACACACGACTTCTTATTATATAAAAATTGTTTAAAGAAAAATTTTTTTTTATATATTTAACTTCATATTATCTAAAGATTTTACATTAATTATCTTGTATACAACTATTTTGATAACAATACTACAAATTACATACCTAGTTATTCATTTTGAATTGTTATAAAATTTAAACAATTTAAAAATTTTTTCTTATACATTTATTATCATGTTTAAATCGATTTAACAACAATACCAAAATTTACATACTCATATTTCATCTAAATCGAAGACAAATATATTCTGCCGACCTTTCCTCCCCCAATTGAGCTTGCCATGATGAGTAGGTCACCTTATGGCAACATTTTTTAAAATAGATATAGATAACAAAATTAGCAATATAAGAGGTGTAAAATTTTATAAAAGATATGTGGATGATATTCTAATAATATACAATGAAACAGAAATCAAGATAGAAGAAATCAACAAGCAAGTTAATAATATACAAGTTAAAACAGAAATAGAAGATACAACCACAAAAGAAATTAACTATTTGGACATTATGATAATAAGATTAAAACAAAGCTTAGAATTTAGAACATTTAGAAAGCCAGGTTTGAGTCAGATAACAATAAGATATCAGTCTAATGTACCACTTTATGTCAAATATAATATATTTAAAATGGAATATTCTAAGATAAAAAACAGAACAAGTCAAGAAATACACATATTTGCAGATTTAGCCGAATTAAAAAAGAAATTTCTTCTGGCAGGTTACCCACAAAGACTATTAAAAAAATGGGAACTTAAAATAAATAATCTTAAAATGCCACAAGACAATAAAAAAAACAAATGATATAAGTATATTGGTTTCCCATACATCAAAGGACTACACGAACAAATTGATAATGAAATAAGTAATATAAACTTTAAGTTAGCACCATCATACCAAAAAATGTATTCAAGACTTAAACAACTCAGCACTGAGAAAAAACAACAAATACCAACTGAAGGTAAGAATGTGGTATATAAGATTCATTGTACTTGTAACGATAATAAATATTATATAGGAGAAACTAAAAGGAAGTTAAAAATCAGATTAAAAGAACATATAGCAGATCTAAAATACAATAGAATAAATTCTGCCTTTCATGATCATTGCAATCTGAATGATTGTAACATTGATAAAGATAATGTACAAATAATCCACAAAGAAAAAGAAACATATCATCGTAAGTTCAAAGAAAGTGTAGAAATTATCAAAAATTATAAATGAATAAATAAAAACCCAAGTATTAAAATAAATGAAAACTGGCTCAGTATCTTATAAAATTAAAAAACCTTTTAAAAAAATATTCCTGTGTAAAAACATATTTAAAAAAAATGTCACCACAACGTGGCCTACTCATCATGTGACTGTGTAGTAGACAGTGGGCAAGGTCAACTGGGGGAAAAAAGGGGAAGGAAAGGTCGGCAGAATATATTTGTCTTCGATTTAGATGAAATATGAGTATGTAAATTTTGGTATTGTTGTTAAATCGATTTAAACATGATAATAAATGTATAAGAAAAAATTTTTAAATTGTTTAAATTTTATAACAATTCAAAATGAATAACTAGGTATGTAATTTGTAGTATTGTTATCAAAATAGTTGTATACAAGATAATTAATGTAAAATCTTTAGATAATATGAAGTTAAATATATAAAAAAAAATTTTTCTTTAAACAATTTTTATATAATAAGAAGTCGTGTGTATAAAGGTGTTTTAAAGGTACAAACCTTACAGACATTTGTAATTTGATAGATAACAAGTTAAATGTGCAAAGAAATTTTATGATTTTAACTTTCTGTAATCTGTAATCAAAAAGGTATGTTTTGGAAAACATGACCTTATTTGTTTTATAAAACTGTTGTAACTTGTGAACTTTTATTTTAGTTGGCTGAAGAGGGGCAAGGAATGCCCAAAACGTGTAAAAATACAATGAACACGTATCAACTGAATAAAATTTAATGATGAGATTTGTCAAGTGTCTGAATAAATACAATAAATGATTTGTGTTCGAATTACTAATAATTACTGGACATGGTTTCAAATA